TAAATTCTTCGAGAAGAGTAGTGGGGGGGGGGTTAACCCCTGTGTACTGGTCCATTAAGTTCCCTTTTGTTAATTGGATATGCCACGTAGGACAGTGATTAAGTTCACTAATTGGCAAATCCTTGGCGCTCGTGCCTAAAGAAACGAAATGAAATGAAACACAAACACACACTTAACAGACATTATAACGAATATCTGTCCTTGTGTGAATTGTTCCTTGTTTTAAAAATTGACTACTAAGGTAATATTAAGGATTAGGCCTAATTCATCGAAAGCTAAATTGATTCGACTGCTTAATGTCTTATGTATTCGATTCTTTGAAATGACAATATGTTTTCGGATATTTCAATTGGGGTTCATCAGATTTTAAGACAACGAGTAGGATTCAAAGAAAAATTATCATAAAATCAATACTTAACAAGGCATATGCACACTTATGTAACCATGACTGAGCACAGACCCAATCAGTTTACAATTTACAATTATGTGGGGGGAGTACCTTTATTCGAATTATCAGTTAAATCATGGTTAAATTAAGCATCCCTTTATATATTCCATTCATATAGATCAGTGATATCAAACCTTTTTACATTCGCAGATCACAACAACATTAAACAGTCACAGATTCTGAAATTCGATATAGAGGGAGCCCCCAGAAAGTCACTATTACATATAGGAGGTTGCTACCACCTCAGCCTCTTCTTCGTCGTCATCTTCAGAATTTAGCGCCAACTTCAAAATGAAGGCTTCGGCGCGAGCTTCATCCGCAGATGGGAGTCTCATCCGGAAGTATTAGTCCGGGGGCATATGTCGAAAAATGGGCTCCCGTGGGATTTTTGTGATCATTTTAGTTTTTTGGATGGAATATATATACTTTGAAGTATGCTGAATCCAATAAAATGAGTCGCCAATTTTTCTACGCACATCTTCATATGCAAATTAGCTGAAATATGCAAATTAGTTCTGAAAATATAGGGTATCTTGGTACCCACTTGTCGTAGAAAGTTGCTTCTTTCTTAAAGTTGTTCAGATCATGCATGTTTCTATTTACGCTAATGAAACATTTTCTTCAAAAATGACCGGAAGTGCCATTTTGCCGACCTTATTAGCATAAATATGCAAATTAGGGGTGGAAATATAGGGAGCTATATCTAGAAAACCACTGGTCGTACAGAGTTGCTTTTTGCAGCAAAATGTTTAAAACATGCATATTTATATTTACTATAATGGACAATTTTCTCTAGAAATGACCGGAAATTGTGCTTTTGACCTTTGACCTCAACTTTGCGTGAATTTAATATCTTGGCAACCACTGATCGTACAGTACGGAAGCTTAAAGTGACCTTCCGCGTTTCCGAGTTTCCAAGATAATTATCATGGAAACATGGAATAAGTATTTATTAAGACGTCTTTCCGAGATAATTTATCTCGGAAAGACGGATTTCATATATATACGGTATATATTAAAATACGTTGATCCTTCGCCAAGTGAAGGAAGATGCGCTCCCCAGATGATGAAATGGCGTTGCCATCTCTACCGTACACACAGAGGTATATTGGTGCCAGTATGCTGGGCTAGCTCCGGTAGCTGTCACCTAAGAAAATCCTGCGAATTAACTACCGTGCATTATAAATGTAATCATTTATGGAGCATTTAAAGAGGTATGTCTAAAGATTTTACTGATTCACGAACAATTGTCAAGGCTAACAAATTAATCAGGGCTCGCAGAATCGCCTGCCTGACGTCCCGGCAGGGCAACCAAATATCTGCGTCGGGCAACCAAAAATAGGGTGCGTCCCGACGGGCAACCTCTTTAACATCTTTTTGTAACATAATATTCTGTTAAAATGTTAATAAAATATTCATAATTATCACAGGGCTTCTCACCTCGCCGGTCATCCCTGTCCGGCTCTTAAATTTCCGACCGGCATCTGAACTGCGCCATTTTTTACAAAGACTTTTTCAACCTTAGAAACATAATTAAACACAAAATACTTTGCTAAAAAATCAAGGGCTTTTAACTGTAAACGCCCTA